GAGTCTGGACGTGCGGGTGTCGACATCAAAGGTATTTGTTGACCACCCAGGTAAACCTCATCCCAGGAGGTTTACCTGGGTGGTGGACAAATACCTTTGATGTCGGCAGGGAAGCGTCCAGACTATCGCACTGAGCTGACAAACAGCTGATGAGCTGTTTGTCGGCTCAGCGCGGCAGCCATGTAAATTTAAATGAAGCGACGATTATTTAAATCGCCGCTTCATTTTACTATGTCTGGTAGCCTAATCTACATGCCTCTGGTGACAGAGGCATGTAGTCTAGACGTACCCTAAGAGTACATCTAGACTACAGGCTTTTGTCGACAGATACTGTCAACAAAGAGCATCTAGACTACATCCAGTTCTGTCGATAAAGCAAGCTGCTTTGTTGACATGATAGTGTAGACGCAATAACCCCTTCTGTCGACAGAACTCTGTCGATAAAAGGCGTTATTCCTCATAGAATGAGGTTTACAGCCATCAAGAAAACTGCTGAGTTCTGTTGACATTATGTCGACAGAACTCAGCGGCAGTGTAGACACAGTTATAGTTTTGTCAACAAAAGTCCACTTTTGTCCACAAAACCCTGTAGTCTAGAAGCACCCTAAGGGAGGGGAAAGAATTGGAGGGAAAACACTCCTTGCCTCTTGACACAGCATCTTTTAGACCAGTGGTCACGAACTAGTAGTACGGGATCTATTGGTAGATCTTGGAACCTTTGACAGGTGATCCTGACAGGTTTGGCCAGGAAGCTATCAAGCACTAGCACTTCATCTGCCCCTCTCAGCATGGCTGGGTTGCTCTTGCCCTCTGCCTGGGAGGTGCCCCTCACCCCTGGGAGCCTCTTGCTTGCTGTGCAAGGCCTAGGAAGAAAAGGAAGGGGGGGTGATGATGTCAGGGTGCCCTTCCTCCACCATTTATGCCATCTCCAAAAAGCAGAGAGGGGCAGAGATGAAGAGAGATTGCAGGCTGCCTTTGGGAGTGGTGCAGGGCCAGGGTAGGGGTGAGCCTGGCTTAGTCCCCTGCACCACCACCACTCAGAAGCCACCTATGGTACGCGGTGCCTAGCTGGAGCCAGCTCTGACACCCGGCCCCACTCCTGAACCCCTCCTACACCCCAAACCTCTGCCCCGAGCCTGATAAAAGTGAGGATAGGGGAGGGAGGATGGAGTGAGCAGGAGTGGGGCTTTGGAGAAGGGGCGGAAAGGAGGCAAGGCAAGGGTGTTTGGGTTTGAGGTAGATCCTGGATTGCACTTAAATTCAAAAAGTATCTCATGCTTAAAAAGGTTGAAGACCACTGGTTTAGACCATTGGTGGGCGACTTGAGGGCCACATGCAGCCCATTGGTATTCTATATGTGGCCCATGAGACATTTTGTTTACCGATGCCCACTTACAAGGTTGCCAAATTCTGCTCGTTTTCATCTACATCATTTTTTTTTCCAACCAGTATTATAAAGTGACACACACTTGAAGCAAGGGCACCTGAAGTGAGGCGCATGCTGATTGCACACAATGTTGTGAGAGCCATGCACTCCCTCTGCATCCAATCAAAGTGCTGTGTGT